CTTGACCGGTTTTCAGTCAGTAAGTGACTGTGCCCTGTGGGTCCTCGATGGTTCATTAAGGGTCAAGAGCTGCAGAACGAAGTGTTGATGCTTGGTCATCGTGCCCATTTATTGATAAACCTGAAATCAAGGATATATTCTACAAAGAACAGTCCTGTCTCCGTGAGGGAATGAGGGTATCTATTTGATCCTATATTGATGATATTGTACAGCTAAGTGGAGATCCAGGTAATTTGCAAGCTTTTCTGGAGGGTTTGAGTGCATGACATGCATGGCATGCACTTCGCACCTTCAAAGGGTAATAATAAGTATAGTGACAGTAAATGAGAAAGTAATAGGAGAAGAAAAATTCTGACATCTGGGAAGCTATGTCTCATCCGGCGGACACATCATGGATGAATCGGGGGTCACATACCTAAGGTTCGATTGGCATTTGCCTACTTGATATACTTCTGTAGCCCTCATAACATCCGGCTCTTTGTGAAGAGTTGAGTGCATGCTGCAACAGTTTGACAGTGCCGCAATACGGCACAGAGACTTGGTCAGTGCCAAAACAAGATGAAGATAGACAGTCGATGTTCGAACACCGAGGTCTTGACAGCATTAAACGAGTTTGATGGGGAAACCGACCGAGTAAAGCTGAGGTCAGACGCAGAATCTTGGATAACAGCGGTCCCGGATTAAAACATCATCCAAATAGTTCAATGTTGGTGACCCAAACCAGTTTGCATACATCCATTCCCGCGGCACCCTGGATGCCCTTGCCTATCTCTCCCACTTGTTTTTTATCCAATCTGGATAAGAAAAGCAAGACTGCATATGTTTTCTAGACTACATTCATGCCTCCAACACGATTGGTGGATAAATATTGCTGAATACCCTCTCTTCGGGTGGCATTCAACCTCCTACGATTGAACTCTTGATCAATTATTTCTCCAACCGTCAGCAGTTCACAGGCTACACAGGTTGTACATATTCGCTGCTGCCCTCCCCACAAGGCGCAATTCAGGACGCTATTTCATCCCCTTTTCTATTTTCCGCTTACACTTCCTCTATGCCTGTGAGCAATTCTTCTGTTCTTGTTAAGTATGCAGGCGATATAATATTTCAACTGCCCTACCCCAAACCATCGTTTCAAACCACTCTACAAGAACAAATGTCAGAAATAGTTCAGTGGTTTCACCTGTAACCTCACCTGTTCTGACCACGCCAATGACGTTTTTCTGAAGATCACGAGACTCGCGGTTCATGTTTTACGTCTTGAATCACTTTCTCTCTCAAATCATCTCATAAGGCATTTTGTTTTTGTTTTCGTTTCGCCCCACTGGCTTTAGGCGTCTCCTGTTATCTTACGCTCTCTTTTACCAAGGACTTCAACCACATTTCTCGATCCCTCATGTTTCTGTCAGTATGTAGTCTTATTCCACGGAAACATCTGGTACAGTATGTGATGGCACATCACCTCAACTCCTGTGAAACATTCTGCATTAAGATTTTATCTGATATTTCCAATCCCCTTTATTCTGCTCTTAGTGCTTTTCTCACTCATCCACCGGTTCCAGTCATAAACTCATAAAGGCACGCACTGAGGCGTACAGGCGCTCTATTGTACCGTATCTCACCAGATTTCTTATAAACCATGAACTTGTTGCAGAAAATCTGCGCAAAATGGTAAATTAAACACTCTTTTATGCCGTTGTTTTTTTTTAATGTTGCTGTACGTTTCCCTTCTTTTAATTGCTGTATCACATTTCAATTTGTGTTAAATTCTTAACACGGTGGTTGGTTGTTTGCTGAATATCCACCGTTTGAGGTGTATGAAGCGATCCCTTGACTTGACTTGACCACATAAGCCGCGTTAGGTTTCCTGAATGTGAACCTCTGGATTATTGGAATCGATGGTTAGAGACACACTGATTTGGCTGAGTGTCTAAAATGGTGGCGCTGGATCACATACTCGCTGTCCTTATTACCTTGATCTTCATGAGTTTTATGTTTACATCCTGATATAATCAATCTCCTGCTATGTCGCACCCCTCGGGAATTCGAAAAAGTGGGTAAGTTTCAGGAACTGCGACATAGTAGGGTAAACAGTAGTAGATGCTAATAAGTAGTATAAACATCGATTGACAGTTTTGTGACAAAATAAACTGGATCGATGAAAAGTAGGTTAATCCCGTTAGTATTTTCCAATAGTTATGATTATAAACTGTTTATTTATAACGGAATTTAAATCTACCGTCCTGCGTATCCTGCATGTATTGCAGAAATTTAAACATTTTATGACGCCCTCAGCCTATTATCGGTACACTGCATACGGTATTCAGCCCTTTTCAGTTCTGTGTGTCTAGTTATCCCGAATCTACCTACCTTCAGGGAAACTTTTTCTGACCCAATTATCCCATATTAGTTCCAGGTATTCCTCCATTCCATTGCAACTTTAGGCTAACCACAGAATTGATTATATAACTTCCACCATAATACACAACTGTTTTTGCTATAATAAGCATAGCATTTCAACCCATTCAAGGAAAATAAAGGTGAACCAGTTCGAATACAGTGAGAAGGAAATGAAATCTAAAATGAGTGAAATACCTTTTACGGGGTATATTTACTTCCTCCCCATGTTCAAACTGATTGTGCGTTGTGCAATCTATTCATGTTTTTCTATTGAAAAATGTTTATCATTAACGTCTGTAGACATCCATTCGTTCCTTTATTTCTGTTCAAATCGATTGATGCATTCGTCATGACCGTTGTTGGTCGGACTAAGTTCAACTGGGGATGCTTAACGTGATTCATAAGCCATACCTTTTTAAATTTAAGATGTCATGTTGCAATGTGGATAGATAGTACGATAGTCCGATTACTCCATCGGTTCACATTGTCTTCTACTTTTTGTGATGATCTTGTTGTCTCGTTCAGTCCATCCGTGTGCTGATGGCACTCCTGTTGCACAATCCAAGTTCACTGGACCTGCCTAAGGCTCACGGTTGTAGACAAGGTGAGGTTTCTCGCTCGGGTTAGCTGGGTAGACAGTTTTTTCGTGAACTTCAAAGTGACTTGGCGACGGAGCTCAGAGTTGCACCTGGCTGTTTCAGCACCTCCAACAGATTCTACTTCTCTCTGATCGATAGGCGCTTGCACATTTTGCTGTCCAATGACACTGTCTCCGATCACTTGCATCGGTGTGACTTCCTCGCCAGGATTATCCAATCAGTGAACTGCTCCATGAACACGTCACACTAGGTGCAACGCCATTGGTTGAATGCGACATTTCAGGGTGGATGATCAATGGTCGTCCCGAACATCGGTCAACGACCAAGTGAGTACGTATCAGGAACTGCGACATACTGTGGGGTGCGACATCTCATAGTCAGAAACTACGCAGTTAGGCATAGGATTGGTTTGGGTTTTCGAAAAAGTAGGAAGATATTGGAAAATGCGACTTCTCAGGGGTGCGACATTGTAGGAGATTGACTGTACTTATTTGAAAACTCCAATTTCCCCTTTACTCCTTCATAATAGGAAGCCATGAGACACCAGAGAAACCCGGCGCACGAAAGTGCAACTGTCAATTTTAGAGTGTCAGGCTTGGACTAACCCATTCGATTGTCAAGAGGAACCAGGCATTCTTGATGGCCTTGGGTGTGGGTTTCATTCCTTGGGAGATCGTTCATTCCCCATAAGTTCATGTATTTACAAGCGACAGAAAAGTTTATGATAACCGACAAAGAGCACTGTCGGTTATCACAAACATTTTCATCGCATGTAAGTGCATTGTTAATGTTTTTAAAAACAACTTGGCCGAACCCTTCCAGATTTGAGCCGTCGTTGAATATGCGCTACTGACGATTCATTATTTGAAATTATGGCTACCAAGCTCAGTAAGGTCAATGAATACATACTGTAGAGTTTGTTGCTCCACAACCATCTTTTGCATTTAGATTTCACTTTGTTCGGTCGATTGTAAGTCACAAGGCCAGTTGCAAGTATTGATTATAGGTGCTTATATGAGTCACGAGGACACATCGTGAAGAAGTAGAGAGAAAGATACAACCAAACACAATGATAATTATCAGATCGAAATGTCGCATAGAAGAATGAGGAATCGGGTGCAGTGTGGAGAACAAAAGGAGAACGAATCAAAACGATTGAATCAAATCGTTTCGATATTCACTGTACAAGACAAGAGAGCATTTCTGAACTGTGGACAGGTTTATCTGAGACCGCATGCAAGTAGGAGCGGGCGGAAAATGGCGAACATAAATGAACGAGTGGAACTAGGGGATGGGATGAGATCATTGAGTACATGTACAGAACAGAATTTTGTGAGCCAATTTAACGAGGGTTTTACAATTAACAAGTTCCGTTTAATCCGACACACGTTCAGTCTTTCTGCATGAGAGTTGTTCGCTCTTTTCGAGGGTACTGCTCCGGTCGTGATGTGATGAAGGTGTGGGTTATCGGGTCCAGAATAATACAGATTGGGCTGCAACAGCTCAATCAATCATCCGTCTGCTAGTTGTTCCATCCAGTTAGGGTTTTTGAAAAATTCTGGCACAGGTTGATCCATTCGGGCAATGATTTTGTAGATCGGTTTTTTCCATGATTGTTCGGCATCTTTTCCTGTCATAAGGGCATTGAAAAATTCACGCAGTGTGGCCTCAACCACAATACGAAAGTGTTCGGGTACCTAAACAGAATGGGGCATGGAAAACATGGACACCATGAGACTGTGATAACTGGAATTTCCGGAGTAAGTTGTTCTTATGCACATACCATTTTAAATATATATCAAATCCTACATTACTGAATCGCAATTAGTAGTTCTGTTCTGAACGCCTCTGAATGTTTCACTAAGTTTGATACTGGTACTAGAACAGACAAAATTTATTACTGGTAGTACAACGCTAGGCTTTCTTATATCTTACAGAGTGAAACAGATTGATCATTCGCTAGATGATTCAGCAGTTGTCCAGTGATCTCTTAGTCATATACAAAGTTCCGCTCTCCATTGAATCGATCGATTCATATTAGGGAAACTAACTGATCTTCCTAGTTTTATAGTTCATGTGTTCTTTTATCTGTATTCGGGAAAAGTCACCCTGGAATCAATCACATCAATTTCAACATTGTTATCGTAATTTAAGAAATAACCAGTTTTATTGTGCAATCACTGTTTTGTTGGAGTACATATTATTCCATACCAATAAAAAAGCATATGGCTCACGACTAATATCACTCACTTCTAATTGTTGATTTCGATTGTAGTGTAAATTCAATGCACGGTACAGTTCGGAATCTGTAGTCACGTGAATTTCTTCCGCTGATCGTACTCCTTCTGAGATAGCGACCCGAGCGAACTTTTCCATTTGTATATAATAGAACTCTCTTTTTATTTGTTTGAAAAATCAGGGGTGGACAACCGGAAAATAGAAACAATTAAACAATATTTGCATAGAATATCATGTTGAAAATAATAGTTGTTAGCTTTATCAGACAAGACAGATTCCGGACTACCATGGTGGTGGTGATTGTGATAAAATGCATTACTTGAAGACCAGTTATATCAGGTGGAATAAATAAGTTGACAGACTTCAGTTGTCGATTCCATGATTCTCTAAAAAACGGTCATCATATCCACGTTCCCAGTAGAATACAGTGCATGTCCTTGTCCTTCAAAGTGTTTCAAAGTTTAAAACTTGTAATATAGCCTCGTAATACTAATTCAACCCACAGTACAATTAGAATCGCTCTTTTTGTTACAGTAAAAGATCCGCTACATGAAATACCCCAAGTAACCATCACAGAACGCTTACATTTCTATCGTTCGGATAACTTGTCCCTAAATCAGACATTTATGTTTTCACATCGACTGAACTAAAGTTTTTCTTTGTCATTTCATACGGAACATTTGGTCGCAATTGGAAGCCATCTTAGACTCATCGATTTCATTCAGTGTGTCAGTCGATTTGAACGTCCCAAATCAGTGATAAACTTTGGCTTCCAGTGTATTCGAAGTCCGTTTGTGATAGCATACCGAGAAACATCCTTGTGTGTATGTTTGCGTGCTCAGTTCTAAATCAAACATTTTCCCATAGAGATGCCCAACTATCCCCAGGTACATTTATCGCTTTTAGAGGTGTGTGCTTTTTCAAGAAATTACAAATGGATTGGTTGATTGCATTCTCAAAGACATAGGTACGCATATGCGACAATGAGAGAGAGTTAAGACAAATCGCTCGATCTGTGTGCTCAAACTACCGTCTTTCTTTTGTCCATCTCCAGAAAACCCAATCCATTCGGCCGATTGCGGTGCGACAACCACACACTGACCAGCCATCTTCCCTACCACAGTGTTCATGGCTTAGTTCACATTAGCCTGCTATGCTGCAGTGCCATAGATTAATGTGTAACAGAGGGGTGGGTAATCTACTGCGAAGTGGCAGATGCTAGAGGATGGGGTGGACGAATAATGGGGCACAGAATAAATGCAGCGAAGAGCTCACCTCCTCCATCTAATCGATTCTAATCACTTCTGTAATCGTTTTATCCCCTCAGCCCCACGTTCCAAAGAAAATCTCCTAGTTCTGTTCTGTCGAATCACTTTTTATGGTAAATAAGAATTCCTTTATTTCTTAGACAGGTGTAAACTGGGCGTAGTTCGGTGCGCATTATAGAATTTGATTGAACCGACTGTCTTCCAGGTAAGGGGAATAAAGTCATAAAATGCGTTGGAAAAAATCTCTTGCCGCTTTTAAGCCGATACAAGGACCTTCAGGCATGTATCTCTAGATAGGCAGGCACAAACACACACCAGCATGCACCGTTTTACCATCGGATAACGTGCATCGCTATCACGTATTACTACTATCACGTACTCGACAGCATCGTTGCATTACCGATGCCCTTTTCTAGGTCTCTCATGCTCCCTCTCTCTTCCTTTCCCTCGCTCTCTCACACCATCATTATCATCCTTGTATTCTTCCTATGCGTTATGCAGAACAGTGAAACAAATCAAACCGTAAGCAAATACGTCCGAGGGGAATCAGACTCAAAATCCGCCGGTCCGCGGACAATTCGATAACGGTGGGCGCGGAGATGGACAGATTGAGGCGGGCGCGATATAATCGGTTGCCAGAGCGACTAAGTTGTTTAAAGGCTGGTTGTCTCACATCTGTGTTAAACCACCCCAACTCCATAACTCATCACAATCAGTGTGAATAAATAAGAGGCTGACGATGAGGATGAAGATGATGTCAGAACCGTCTTGTATTTTTTCGCTATGCATGCGTGTATGCGTGAGTAAACCAACTTGCACTCATGCACTACTTAGTCTGAATTTTCGTGTGTGTGTGTGTGCGTATGAGAAGAAGACGTTTCTCAATGATAGGATTTGGGTGTGATGGTTGTTTTTTTTCACTCTCTCGTTCGCTCCGTTCTCTGTTTGTCTACGATTGTCGCGAACCCACAGACAGTTCATGCAGCAAAACCCTGTGGTCATCAGTGTGCGGAGTGACTCGCAATGCCGTGTGTATGCATGAGATGCAATTAGTTGTGAGTGCAATTAACCAAAGTCATCCCATTACCATCGTCTCCGACTGCAGCACCAACACCGCCGTCATCGCTCGGCTCTCTCAGTAACAGACTCGCTCCCACCCACATATCACTGACTTGCAAACACACGCAGACACGATACAGGTTTCGCCTACCGTTGAACTAAAGTCAACAGACGTCACAATTTTACTACCCGGTTGTCTGTGTATCGACACATACACACTAGATGTTTGTGTGCTCGCTTGCTGATTATTGGGGAGACTTCTTTTTAACCCTAAAACACTTAAAGTGAGAAGACACGATGTGTGAATGAAAAAGCCTCTCCGACTATTGTCGCATACCTGAACCCCGGGTTATTGTAAATGCACTGGGGGATGGGTCGTGACTTTGGATGCGACAAAACAAACAAGGCTGAATTGGGTTGAAATGAGTTGTGGTGGTGGAGGTGGAGTGTGTGTCTCCGTTGGGGAGGGTGTGATAGACTGTTTGTTGTTTGGGATAGATTGTTTGCGGACAAGGGACCGTAGTTGGCTGCTACTACTACCACTACTACGACAGCAAATGATGAGAAGGGGGAAAAAATAGGACAAACTAAGTGCTGAGACGTTTGCACGTTTTCAGAGATCGAGATAGAGAGGGGAAAAGAACTTTATTCAGTCCGTGGCGTGTTCACGCGGATACATAGAGCGCAAGCAATTAACTACATTTTTTCCATCCCAGAACGAAAGGAACGAACGAAGGAATAGATTAGACAGACGTGTGTGTGTACGAGTGAACGTAATCTTTCTGAACAATTTTGTCCTAGGTGGTAATGGAAGTGAGAGGTGAGCAGTATTCTTTTTAACTAGCTGTGTGTATTCCCAAACCGAAATTAATCGGCAGACAATTTATGCTACACACTGCTTTAGCAGACCAGAAGAGAACACCACACAGACGTCTGCCCACATGGGCAAGGGCATGGGAAGAAATCGGGAAGAACAACCAGAGCTTCAGTCCGGTCGTAGCAAATATCTGTCCTACTACAAGTTTCACTATAAACGTTTCGCCTCTGTGCTAGTTTAACGAGACGGATCTCACAAATCTTTGCACAGCTCTTTTTCACTCTGAAACTGTCGCATCACTGACCAATCGAATACCCGATGAACCATTTGCAATGTCCACTAGGTCATTCATAAAGTTGAGCATTGTTACTTGATTTGAAACTGAAGTTTTAGCATAACTACCACTAGCGAGATTGTGCTTATGAATCTGTTAAATAACGTTCCCCTTTCCCATGCCGATGGTACTGTCTCATTCATGCTTGGGGTCAATTATGTGGGGTTCATTGGCGAGTGTCTTGCTTGGCATCGTCCTCGAATGGAGGGGACAAGCCGTCCTATGCAGTGAATAAAAATCTGATCATGGGCATTATACATGTGACCCAAACGCATCGCGTGATACTTAAAATTTTTATATTGGACGAAAGATAAGATTGTTAAAAAATGGTGTTGACCAGTTAATATTTGATCGAAGGATTTGTGGAGTGACTGTAAACTTACCGAAAATTGCTGAACCATTTGACCAGTTGGGCGGTGTTGTTCTTGTAGAATTTAACATCCGGAAAGTACATTTTAATCAGTGTGGAATTGGGGTAACGAGTGTAGAAGAACATCAGTTTGGCTTTTCTCAAGTGTACTGGAGTCAGTGTACTGGTCTAAAATAACGGGGTAGGAAAATTTGGAAATACAAAGGGAGAGAGAGCATGATTACTAACTGTAGGCAGCTTGTAAGTCAAAAAATGTATCATTCAAAAGTCATAGTAATATAAAAATGATTTATAGTTTATAAAATACAGAATGACAATATTTGGTGAAAACAAGTCAAATTTCTGGCATAAACAGACAGAATAATGACCTAAACACCCTACCGTCCTCATTTAATTCACCCGTTCGGGATGAGAAAAAAATGATAACTTGAGTCAAATCTATACTGACGAACCAATCCATACATGCGTGAACATAGAAGATAAAACGGAGAGATTGAATGATGCATTTTTGGGGAATCACTTCACAGCAGCTCAATGGACGCAGAAAAACCGGAACAAAAATGGAATGGCTAACGGATAGAAATTAGCTATCAGGACAATTTCATGCATATCGCCAATATAGTATAACTGTAGTGCTGTTTCCATAAAAACTAGTCGTTGAATGACTAGTACCTCTTTGGCTGTTCAAATATATGCATTGCTTTCTTTATGAAAAATAACTGATTACATATGTATTACGAATATTAACTGGGATGCAGGATGAAAAGGAAAGTTTAATTGCATTTGTTGTTGTTATTTGGTTCCACATCCCTAGACTTTGCACAACCAGATAGCATTTGTAATGCAATAGAGCCTGACTGAAAAGCCCACAGAGCGGTGACTTTTTGAACACTGACTCATATCAGTTAATAAATAAAACAGTTTACATTTTTAACTGAAATGTAAGCATATATGCTTACACAAGTTATACAAATATAAATGCAAATCTGAGTGCGGTTCAGGTGGACTCTCCGACAATTACCCAAGATAGAACTGGTATTGATATCAGATCAGGTCACGTCACTGAGAATAGCTCACTCTCATCCGACCGTCTGTGGCTGGTTCTTTTGTATTCTTTGCGAGTAGGAAATCAATCGAGCGTTTTATCCGTCTTTAATTCCTTCAAGTTTGCCTCGTAGGTCAATGCATAGTGGTGCTCACCACGATCAACAACTCAACACCTCGGAGTTCCTGTATTCGAACCCTACCACTACCGCCTGCTTTCCCAAATGTCTTGTTGACAAGTAGCAACCCTATGACTACCCAAATCTTCCGTCATGAAAATGTTTCGTACAATTCGTGAAACAATGAGAGAAAGTGAAAGAAAAAACTCCATATAAATACAATCATCCATTCAGCGGCTCGTACATTATTTCTGCTCGATGATAATCAGAATAAGGGGTTTCCAAAGTAATACCCAACACCCGGATGAGAACATGAAGAGGAATTTCCTGGAAATAAGATGGTCCCAAGATCAGATGTGGTAATTTATCGTTACAATGGTATTGATTTTAACTGAGTAGCTCGGTGAAGGAAAATCCAACCATCCAACCCTTATGATGTTTCTCCTTTATTTGTTTTTACTGTCCGTTGATTATCCTCAAGCATTTATTAAAATCAGCTAAGCTTTCTAGTATTCAAGTAGATAGTAGGCCTGCATTCTACTTGTGAGATCCGGGGTTCGATCCTCAATTGAATCGATGGATTCGTACTGTTAATGAGACCCATCCAGGTAGAAACAACTATCCCACGCTTTCCAACTTTGCAATTCACAAATCGTTTGCCAAGTTAACGATATAAATACAGATTATTAATACTTTTCAAATGGGTCCCTAAATTGCCGTTGCTTATTCAGTGAGTATAGCGCGATTGATTCAATTTTCAGATAAATTCCCCTAAGAACGTTTGCAAACAGTCTGCAAATATGCAAAGTCCAAGCAAACTGGTGAAATCTCTGGAACAGAATGTCCTTATATATTTTATTTTTTTCTGAATTAGGAAACCTGAATCCATATCCTTCGTACTTCAAGAGGTTTTTTATACTAGTCAAGAATTACGTTGATACATGCTACATAAATGATAAAAAATAACTTCACAATCCGTGTGGGGTATGAATATATGCTATCTATCTCAGTTTGAAAATCTCGAGCTGTTTATTTTGGCAAAGTTACGTAACAACTCATAAAATTAATCTCTCCTGTCCCGTCCAACCCCACACGAGAACTTCTTAAAGCCCTATCCAAGCCACCAATTAAACATTGGTTCTACTCGGATACGAGAATTGGGAACCTCAACTCAATCCCAAAGGACATAGCTCACAGGATTGAAAGAACCCTGTGAAGAGAAATGATACAATCCCCTCATCTTTGCCTTCTTATGTTGGAAAAAAATGAAATTCACAGTTGAATATTTTGAATGCTCTGTCATCACTGGTGCACGTACGCATACATTAAATGTGTTCAGCCGAATACTGTAAGATGGTGAAGAAAAATTCGCTCGGTCTACACGTTTCTTTTCTGCTCAAAATGAAAGAATGGATACCAGCAGCAATTCGTGTAAACCGAAGAACATAGCATAGGAACATCGGGAAAAGAAATTACACACACAAACACAGACTGTATTTTCTCAGCTCCGATACTTCGTCAAGTGTGTGTGTGTGTACGTGAAACAAAGGGAAGGAATAATATATGGAGGAGAGGCAAAAAACCACGCCAAACTCCGGATATGGGAACTGAGGTCTTACTGCTTGTGAGCCGAGTGCACTGAGGTGAGATAGACGGGATGAGGTCGGGGTTTGAATGTGTACTCGCGCACCCGTGCACTCACACATCAGTCAGCCTCATTTGCATTCACATTTCCGAATGGAGTAAGTCAAATTCTTGGAAGCGTCTCCTTATGTGTATTCGCTTTGTGCATGTGTGTGTGTGTGCAAATAAGAATTGGAGACAGAGTATGTGTGTGTGTGTATGTGCGTGTAGAAGAAGTAGGGGAGGGGATAAATCGGGCTAAATGTAGATTGCAAGTTGTTTGAAGTCAGTGGCGTTCTGTGGACGTACGACCACGACGACTACGATGACGACAACGAATACGATTGAGACAAAAGAAATCCCAAAGGCGATTGTTCGCCAATGCTGGCGGAAGTTGGTTGAAGGCGACAAGTTACAAAATCTTTTGCGCTCGCACACACACACACACACAAACGCATACCACGCCTGGGTTGAGTACGAAATGAAGCACACGAACAAGCCGACAAACTCTAGATCCAATACGAGTCAGTCAACCACCCAGTCAAGTATCGATTTGACAACAAGAACCAAGGCCATGAGTTCGCACAAAGGCCCAGCATTCAATCTACCGAGTTGTCTGGTTCCCCCGTGTTGGGGATGATGGCGAATAAAGACAGATTGGGGGAAGTTCATGGTGCATTTAAGCTGATGTATCATAAAAGGCGGTAGTGTGTATGCGTGTGTCCCCTTGAAAAGTGGAATTACCGCGGTGTGTGTGTGTGTGCGTGCGTGTGTGTGTGTGTAAGGAATGATGGAACAGAGAACAACCAAGTAGGAGGATTCCTCGTTCTAAGAGTATAGACGGTGAATAAAACAGGAAACCAATAGCAACTGAATTGAAGAAAGCTGGAAGTTCGGAAGTTCGTGCTTACACGAATGACGGAATGAACTGGGTGAATAGTTGGCTGACCGGTTGGTTAGGGACGGGTGGGAAAGCGGTATTCGATGTGTGAATGTCTCGAGGTTGTGCGTGTTCCCTTCCTCACCCTTGTCCTTCAAAAACTCGATAGACAATGGCCGGTTAAAGAAAGTTGAAAGCACTTAGTGGTAGTGCATTTGTTCAAGAGACATTGTGTGTGTGTTCGTCTGTACACGCGCGCGCGCCCTGGCGGGCGGGCGAGCGAACGAGCGAAGAACAAAAGAAGTTTAAATACAGGGACAAAAGAGAAAGACGGAGTCGGAATAGCAAAGACATAGGCGACAGGCCAATTCGTACATCCCGATCATTCGATATATCCTACCAGTAGTAGCAGTAGCAGTAGTAGTAGGTGGGCACTGATACAGCGGCTTCGCTTATCATGTCCGTCAGGCGTCGCCTGTGTGGGCTGTTTGGGAATGCGTGCGCCGTCGAACTGCTGCCCGGTACGGAACCATATCATGCATGAGAGNGTGCATGTGACGGAAACTGGGATTCTCGGGACAGTTCGATGCGTGCATATACCTCCACACAGACCCCTATCACCACCATCCCTATCATACTGACTACCCTACCAGCAGGTGGGGAGAAATGTAGATACATAGTCTTTGTTTCTGCTTTTTTCGTAGTTGAGCAGGTTGTCGGTCGGAGGACCGAATACTTTTATACGGGCTATCTTTAAGATTCTCCCGGCAGCCGACTACTTTCACACCAGACCACACCCAGAACAAACAGAAAAAGCGATTGTTGACACTTTTTTCATGATGTATTGCCAGGGAGAATAATTGCAAACTAAGTGAAGATAGAAAGGGGATTCGTATTGGGTAAACATAATGTGATTTCCGCTGGTTGATAAAACTCATACAAAACGATGCACGTTTATGCTACGAGCGAAAGGTATCTATTAATCAATAAAATCGAAAAAGTTGCTAAGGAAATCTTTGTTTACAGTAAATTCGTTTTACCTGGTTAGTCCAGAGGAGATCAATCGTTTTGTCTTCCAGAAAAACCAGAATTGTACCAAATCAACTGTAATGACCTTTTTATCAATGTATTTCATCAGTATAAACTAGAAGACCTGTTTAAAGAATTACAGTAAAAAAGCTTTACTGCAGGCCTGCTGTATCAGCTGTTAATCTGCTAAATATTGCGTCATCAACTGTAGCACTGATTTGCTAATGAACGAACAAACAGAATTTTCGTTTTGTGAAGCTCGGTTTGAAGTGATACAATCAGTGAAGAACTTTCGACAAGAAAATGTGAGGTTTCTAATGTTTACACGAGTTCAGGAAAATCACCCACGTCCTGAATTGCTAAAGGGGTGATTTTTCGTTAAAAACAGACGTAGTAATATAAGGCAGATGTGGGCAGACAACTTGGGTCTTATCACTAACCCCATTGGTGCGCAGTATCAAAAAATGCTGTGTGAGATTTCGATATTATTTTGTCGAGAAAATCAAATTTATTTTAACTATTAAGGGCCAATATCTCGTTTAAGTTGTTGTTGCTCAGTGAATGGATGTATTCGAAATGTGCAATTAACGAACAAAGTTGCCGTTTATCGAGAAAAGGATTTGTTCATTATTTTACCTCACTTTATCAGCCCAAATAAATTAACACTAAAAACGAGCATATGTTAGTAAAGTAGGTGATCTCTAGTCTTTTAGATGTCTCTTTAGATGTGTCACAAAAAAGACCGTTTGTCCCTCTAAGCCCCAGGTACTCTTGTGAAAGATAGATGATCATAATACCCTGGAGATACCTGTCGTTGGGATAAATTTTCGGTATTCATATACCATTCATCATTTCATTCGCTCATTCATTCATTCGNGTCTGCCTGTCTGTCTATTTGTGAACTTGGGAGGGCAGTGATTCTTGCCCTCTGTCTGTCTATCTATTTGTTTGTTTCATGATAACCTGGGAATGGGAGAAAATTTCATGTGAACTGTTGGTCGGAGACTTTTGGACACACGAACCC